TTCTTCATATTTACATGGAATAAGAGAACAAGTTGACAGTAATTTGGAACCTAACGAATTTTTAACTAATTCTAATTATTCTGATAATAGTTTAGCTGTTATGGAGACTGAAATCAGCGAAATAGAAAATAACAAAAACACTATTGAATTACTTACAGATGATAGTAATGAATGGTCTCCTGAGTCATTTATTTCTGATGATTATAAGAGTGATGAAAGTAATGACAACGAAAAATTGCCTCATAAACTTGCTAATTGGGCATTAAGCTTCAATATAACACATGCTGCTTTGAACAGTTTGTTACCTTTATTAAGAGAATATGGGTTAAGTTTGCCTAAAGATTCAAGAACACTTCTTCACACCCCCCAAAATATAGATACAAAAATTGTCGCGGGCGGAGAGTATTACTATTTCAGCATGCAGTATTGGCTTTTAATAATGTTTAAAAACAATTCAATAGAATCAAACAACAACCAACTTACCATTCACATTAACATTGATGGTATACCTATATTCACCAGTTCCAGTACTTCTCTTTGGCCAATTTTAGGTACTCTTATTGAAGCTGGAGCAATAGTATTTCCAATAGCAATTTATTGTGGTGACAAAAAACCAAATTCTATTCATGAATATCTAGAAGATTTTTTGGTTGAGATTAAAGCTCTTACTGAAAATGGTTTTACCCATGAAAATGTAAAGTATGATGTAAAGCTTGCTGCAATTATATGTGATGCACCAGCAAGAGCATTTGTGAAATGTATAAAGGGTCACAATGGTTATAATTGTTGTGAGCGTTGTGTTCAAAAAGGAGAGTGGTGTGGCAAAATAATCCTTACGCATACATCAGCAACTTTAAGGACTGATTCAGATTTTCGTTATCAAAATAGTTTGGAACATCATATTGATGTGTCTCCTTTAATTGAGTTGGGTTTTGACATGGTAACAAAATTTCCTTTAGATTACATGCACCTAGTATGTCTAGGGGTTGTGCGAAGAATCATCAACTTATGCTTAAATGGTCCCAGATCATGTAAGTTGTCGCAAAATACTGTAAATATTTTATCTGATAGATTTTTCCAGATACGTTGTTATATTCCAAAGGAATTTTCTAGGAAACCAAGGTCTTTATCAGATTTTCGGCATTGGAAAGCCACTGAACTTAGACTTTTTCTAATATATACTGGACCAGTTGTTTTAAAGGGATTACTTGAGCCAAAATTTTATTCAAACTTTTTAGATCTTTCAGTTGCAATTCGTATTTTATTATGTCCTATTTTGTTGAAAAACTATATTGGTTTAGCTCGTCAGTTACTTACTTATTTTGTGCAGTCGTTTGGTAAACTTTATGGTAAAGATCAGTTAGTTTATAATGTCCATTCGTTGATACATCTAGCAGATGATGCAGTTAACTTTGGAGTTTTGGATAAATGCTCCTCATTCAAATATGAAAATTATCTGGGTCAATTAAAAAAGCTTGTTCATAGGCCACAACAACCATGTTCACAAATTGTTAGGAGAATTTTCGAGGGCTGTTTGAAGGAAGATAGACATCATATTCATCAGCTGAAATTTAGCATCCAGCATGTTGATGGACCAATAACCATTGCATTGAGACATTGTTTGCAGTTTAAAAATTACCAAGGTTTTAAGTGTTTAGTTTCTGCTACTGATGGAAATAACTGCTTTGAAGTTGCAAAAAAAATTGGTTTAGTTAGAAATATTATACAAATAAAAACAGGCGAATCTTGTGATGGATTGGTTATGTTTGAAGAATTTGCAGCTCTTGAATCATTTTTCACAGATCCACTTTCTTCCAATAATTTGTCGATATTTTATGCAAGCAAAATGACTGGTATTAATAAAATTTACCCACTATCAGACATCAATATTAAGTATTTACAAATACCATACAAAAGTGGCTTTATTGTAATGCGTCAACTACATTTGTGAATTATAAATACTTTTTATTTTCTAAAACTTGTAACCTCTTTATATTATATTATGCATTTATATTATAATAAAATTTTCTAGAAAGTCAAGTGATTATTTTTTAATCTTTTTTTTAACATATGTTGTATATCTAATTATATATGTAAACAAATAATTTTAATAATGTAAACAAATAAATTTAAAAATATATATATATATATACGCTATGCTAATTTATTTATAAGTAACTAAAGAAAAAGTCTAAGAAATCTCAATTTATTACATATCTGCGCTTTTTATTTATTTACATTAGTTATTATATTTATATTATTTATTTATCTTAGTTATACATCCTAATTTATCCTAATTTATTTTAATTAAGTTATAATAATTAGTATAACAAGTTTAACTCCATTTTTATTTTGTGTCATTTTTTTAATTTTCTTTAGAAAATGGCAGTTATCATTTTCTTATGTTATTAAGGTATTTTGCATTTTTTATTTAAGAATATTTCTGATTATTTGCAATAGTTTCACATTGGCTGTTGGCAATATTTGTCTAGTGGTGTGAGTTGACTACAGAACGTCTCCAATTTTAGTTAATGACTCCAATTAAATAAACTCCTTTAATGGCAGGTTAGTAAATATAATAGTAATAATAATGATAAGTAGTCTTGTTTATTAGAATTAATGAATGACTCTTGTATAGAATTTTTTGACTTAATGGTTAGTGAGTATACTCCCTTTAATTATTAAACACAATTTTAATACTGTGAGAAAATACTTTTTTTTTAAAATCTGAAAAAAATTTTAAAATATGCAATTTAAAAGAAGATGTTGATTTAAAATATAAACGATGGGTTGCTTGTAAAATTCAACTCAAAGCAGTTTAATTTTTATTTTTTCACAGGTCTTATTGAAAAAGATATTGTATGAAGAAAAAAGTGCTTAAAGAAGTGGGTTTCACAAAGATTTTAATTCATGATTACGATACGATTATTCACGATTAAAGAATAAAAATGTAATTTTAATGTGCTTTTTGTTTGAAATAAATAAGCATATAATATGAATTCTCTTATATTTATTAAACCCATATGGGCCCCGTATAGAAACCGCGGCCAAAATCCGGCGGGATCCCGGAGGGCTTTCCCATATGGGTCCCAGTTGTAAATCTATACGGGACCCTTATGGTTTAAAAATGCGGGATCTTAATGGGACCCACACGGGTTTCCCGGCGGGTAAACCAATATGGGCCCCGGATGGAAACCGCGGCCAAAAACCAGCGGGACCCCGGAGGGCTACCCATATGGGGCCCAGTTGATGACCCATACGGGTCCCGCATGGTACCCGTACCACAATGCTGGCTGGGTAGTTTATTCTTTTAGTTTGTGCAACGACTGCTCACTAATCATAAACAGAGTCGATTGTTGATGCAATAATTACTAATTCGTTAAAGCTGGCAACTTCTACTTGTACTAAAGTACCTTAAATCTAACAGATATCATTGTTACGATATTAATTTGTTTGTAAATTGTTTTAGAAAATAAATTTAAAAATAACTTTTAAATAAATATTTTATTTTTCTTGTTTTTTTAACCAACAGGTTCTTTTAAACAATTTAATAATAGTCCCTATGGATTTGGGAATTTTTTCTGAAAAAAAAAACGTCTTTTAAACGTTCAAAAGACTTTTTTTATGGGGTTTTTAAAGAGCGTTTTTTAAACGTTTGTTTTAGAACGTTTTTTAAACGCTTTTTTTAAAACGTTTTTTAGGTATTGCCATTTCGAACGTTTAAAAAACGTTTTATTTATTAGTTAAAAAAACGTTCATGTGCTTACTGGGATATAAATATATTTGTATTTATATATATATATATATATATATATATATATATATATATATATATATATATATATATATATATATATATATATGTATTTTTCTCTCTATATATATGTATATATATATATATATATATATATATATATATATATATATATATATATATATGAAAATCTTAGACTAGATACTGGCTTATCTGAGTTTTGGGAAACCCAATTATCCAATCAAAATATATGTTATGTTTTCCCAGTTTATTATATTTTAGGTTAAGGAAGTTGTAGTTTTTTTCCGTTATATTCAGAATTTTTATCATCTTAGATCTTTTTAATTTAATTGAAATAGTTTAAATTAAATACTGCACATTTTTTTAGATAGACTTGGAGTTGTATTGTTTTTTTTTTTGTCGAAAACCTTGATAGTTTACATTGAATTGCATTACCTATTTATAAAAGTTATGTAAATTTTTTTACTTAACAAAATATAATATGCTAAGGGTCAATTTTGCGCATAAGCCACACTTTTAGCGCTAAAAAGATATTTATATGACATTTATGTAACTATTTTTATCAATAATTAAAACGGCAAGAAAACAAGTTTGTTATAGTAATATAGTACTAGCAGTAAGCAACCCGTAATACGGGTTATTTGTAATTAAATAATTGCTTACGGTTACCAACAAAAAAGACTACGTTGACATCCGTAAAGTTCTTTTTAAGATCTGTTACAACACAGCAGGTACCATAAAAAGCAAGTCAAGTAAAGCCTTCCAATGCCTAAAAAAAGGAACGAAAAATAATTACAAAGTATTATTTGCATTTTATTGTTGATAGAATGAAGATATAACGACTTAAAAAAATTGCTGTAATAGCCCAGTTCTATTAACACTAAACACATTAACAATAGCGCATAACATAAGATATTTGTAAGCACACATTACTATGTCTCTCCAAAATGATTAAAAAAGAAAAGATTATATAAAGGCTAGACAACTTAACGTAGTAAATAACGTAATAACGTATAACACCACAACTTAAGATATTTTATCAACTAAAATACTTAAGCTAAAAAATTTTTATTGATTACAATATTGAACAATTTTATCATAAAATACCAAGCAGCTCATAAAAATTTTTATATACATGGTCATTATCAATTGTGGCATTAATAAAACTTATATAATTACTTTTTTTTAAACTAATAAAGTAATTATATAAGTTTTATTGATGCTCCATGCACTAACTCTCTTTCAACTCTTATCTAAGAGTAAACAAAATTATTTTTACCTTTATTATGTAAAGCTCCAGCTTCTCTTTAACTGTCAACTAATGATTAATAGAGTAAATTTCATATCATTAAATTTACAAAATTAAAACCATGTTTCAACAGTAAGCAAACTAATCAAGTGATAACAAAGGCAACTAAAAAAAAAGAACATAATTACGTTTGAATTTATAAAAAAATTTAAAATCATTTAAATTTAAAACTATTTGATTTAAATTGTTTCAAAGTGTTTAAAATAAAATCAAATAAACACACATTAACACCGCTTGACATTGAATTCTGGCAAGTAAGTTTTCTGCTCGCCGAGCAGCATTTCCTATATTTCAACAACTTTTTTTTTAATTTTATTTTAGGTGCTCCAAGAAGTCCTCAAGGTCTTATCACAGAGAACCGTGGATAAGCATTTAATAGGAAGTTCACGCCTCCTTAAATTTTTATTTTTCGATAAAAGTTGTCAATCAAAAATAAAAATTTATTTACGTATTGTTGTCTAGATTCTTTGTTAAATTGTAATTTAACAAAGAATCTAGACAACAATACATAATCTAAAAGTGTAAAAAATGAAGTAATATCACTCAATATATTTTACTCCAGAGTAATTAAAAAAAACCTATTAAATTTAATGAAAATATTAAGTAAAAAAATATAGCAAACTTACTAAATTCAGTACCAAATCTACTGCCTAAAAACTTTTATTATTAACCCTTCTAATAGTAATAAAAAAATAACAACAAAGTGATCTGAAGTTACTAAAAATCACTTTACCTATTTTTTTTGTTTAGGTTAATTGTCCAACTAAAAATCTATAACTATAATACTGAGATAATGTAACGTGATTTCTAATCAATGTAGCACGTTCAGGGTTGTAAACCAATTGATTATGCCAACCAGCATCACCCCTTAGAAAAAATAAAGAACAAACCATAGGCTCTAATTTGGCAGACATACTTGATATATTTTAAGAGGATGACCTCTTGGGAAATAACAACTTCACTGGAAGTAGGTGGAGCATTATCTTCACCAAAAAATGCAACTTCTTTATGTGAACGGAGATTATAGTGACATCTATCTTGCCCTTTTTTCTCCCTATTTCATTTCAAAGTATATGCTGCTTGCCTAGCAGGATATCTAGCATTTGGTTGATTATTAATTTCATCCTGCCTCAGCCTATTTCTTGCATTTCTGTGATGACTATTTTCAACTTGCCTAATCACACTGTCCTCATTTTGATTTAAATTATTCGTGGCTTGCTATGCAGCATATCTAGCATTGTGTTGATTATTAATTTCATCCTGCCTCAGCCCATTTCTTGCATTTCTGCGACGATTATTTTCAACTTGCTTAATAACATTTCCATCATTTTCTAAACTAATAGCCACTTCTAGCCTTATATCATCCATTTAAACTTCACTTTTAATTGATAGTAGTAACAAAAAATCTTAAAAGAATCTTGAAGATTGTGATTTTTTTTTTACTTTTCTAAATTGCACACACACAAAGAATAATTTTTAAAACATTACATAGGAAATTTTCATTTAAAATAAACCAAATTATACATCAATATTGTGAGTTTTTTATAAAAACATTTTTTTTAATATATCCGTTAAAAGATGTTTAAACAAAAAATAAACTTATAAATATAATGTAAATAAAACAGTTAACCAATAGTAATAAAAAAATAATAATAATAAAAAATTTAATGATAAAGGGTACTGTTAATACAAAAAAAAGAAGACAAAAAATAAAAAGTAAAGTATTTGTAAACCCTTTTAGTAAACTTTAATACTATTTCTATAAAAAAATTGTATAAAAAACATGCAAATAATTTAACCTTCACAAACAATGACTGTTCAAAAGTTGTAGTTTAATTCATTTTTCTAAATTCTAAAGAAAAAAAAAAAATTTAACAGCATCACTGAAATGCCAACAATATAATAAGCAACATGACAAAGTTTATCAAAGATTAATTATCTGCTTTTTTATTACTTAATCTTTTTTCCAATATTTTATATTATTTATTACACATTAAAATCAGAAGATTAAATTTATTAAAGCTTAACATAAGTTAAAAGCTATAAACACTAAATTATTAAATTCAAAACAATCAAAAGAAATAAAATCTGCTGGAAATCAACTAATTAGTTTAAAATTATAACTTAAAAATATTACAAATTTAAGTGTGATTTTTGTTATAATTAATAAATTGCTGCAGTACATTTCATTCAAAAATGATTAACTGATATGGTATATATTCGAAGCAATATAATAGCCATGTTATATTGTGAATCAAAAATTAAAGTAATAAAAACTATAAATAATAATCTAAACAAATACTAAAAAAATAAAAACAAACAATTTAGAATATATATATTTTTTTAATGAAAATAAAAACCAAGGAAAAAACAGCAACAAAAAAATTAATATTAAAAAAGTTAATATCTTCACTGATTGAATATATTAAAAAATTTTTTGTTGCTATTTTTTACTTGGTGCCTCCCAGCACCCCTGTATGGATGAGCCCTCCATTTGAAAGAGGGCTATTCCATACCATTATAACTGCAACATTTGTTAAAGGACCACTCAGAGTGGTCCTGGGTGCTGGGAGCAATATAGTCTGTAGCTGCTCCAATTTAGATCTAAAGAAAGTATAATAATATAATAAAAAATAGATATTTGCATTAAAAATAATAAAATGAAAACTCCTAATATAGAAAAATTAAAAAAAAAAACGTAGTAAAACCCTTTTAAGCAAACTTCAATATTATTTATTTGAAAATAATATTAGTAAAATTTTTAAAAAATTCACTAAAGTTAACAATATTTTGTTCTTCTATACCACATAAATACATCATTTGATAAATAAAAAATGTAACAAATAAGTAAATAAGAAAAAAATTACATAAAAAAAAATGAAATCATTGTACCTGATAAAGCTGATGTGATTTACCAGAGTAGAAGTAATAGGCTTTTAGTGAATCTAAATATTAATTTTAGTGAATGATTAAATGCAGTGAGGTCTAATAATGAAATTAACTATGTATCATTTTTAACAGTAGACAACAACTTGAAGGTAAACCAAATGTATATCAACTCAAAAGATTACAAAAAAGCAACATCACAACAACAATAGCATTCACCATAATTTCATATAATATGCATATAACATAACTTAAGAAACATAACATTCATATATAACAGAACATCAGTAACAACATTACGCAAAATGTTATTAAAATACATTATGTATTTATTACATAAATTACATATATAAAATACATTATGTATTTATTACAAAAAATTACAGAGTAATTATTAATAAAGGCTTGAAAACACCTAGACCTAAAGCAGTAACAGTTTGAAACGAAACACTGCTTTGTAACCCTCTGCAGTAAGTGACTTGGCTGGCAAGGTTGACAAATCTTGCTTAACACGTTTACCAATTCACAGCACTTTGAAAACATATATAAACATATTTATACACTTTTATAAAACAATTATATAACTTATATTAACACATACACAAAAAATAAAAAAACAATGTTACATTATTATAAAAACACATTGATAAAAAAGCTATAAAGCAAATTTTACAATATACACATAATTATCAAAAAAGCAATGCAAACAATAAACATATAACTTGAGTTGTGCAAACAAAAATTTTAAAAATGGCATGAAAAAATTTTAAAAGATTCAAAGTAAACAAAATATAAATATTTATATACAAACAATACTCTTTACCTTTTTCTTTCATAAGAACTGTAATTCTCATAACAAAAATTTAATCTTTACATACAATAACATGTGACATGTCAGTAGTGGCACGAAATTTCAATTTATTTTTCTAACTTTTCTAAAAAAGAGCAAAAACAGTTAATAGCATCACAGAAATTTCATGGTAGTAATAACCAATTTTATTGAAATTAGTATAACTTTTTTGTTGCATTAGTATAATTTTTTTGTTGCATAAAAAAATAATTTTTTTGTTGCATAAAAAAAACCCGATCTGATTGTTTTGCTTTATTATCCTATTATAAGCTATATTTATTATAAAAACAGCATACTTATGTAATTTATATAACATAAATTTAAAAAAAAGGCTTGTTTCAGAAATCATTTTTATTTCGAGGATCGGAATTCACTCTTCAAGTCTTTCTTTACAATATATTCTTGTTTATTTATATGGACCTCATTTTGGACTTGTTGTCTGAATCAAATAAATGATAAAAATAGATATATAAGTAATAAAGAGGAATGGTTCTAAATTAATTAATTAAAACAATAAAAATTTTACCTTAGTTGTACTTTTCAAAGAATATTTAGTGAATGTACACTAGGGCGATCAGCATTTACTCGCCCAGGCAACAATGTTAAAATTACATTAGTTATGTTGTAAGCACACGTTAACCAATACAAGTTTTCTCCCTTAAAATATGAATCAAAAATGCTAGTAAAGTCCAGGATTTTGTCCTACTCTAAAATTATTTTGATAATTAACATTATACTTTAATAATTGTAAAAACGACGAAGATCTTTAGTTTTAAGAACTCTGTTATTTTATGTACTATTTACAATTTTTATACATTTTTTATAATCAACAAAACCTTCCTTAGGATAATTATGTATAAAAATAGATATAAAGAATAATAACGACATAATTACACCAAGGATTTGTAAACGCTCTCAAATTATAATTTGAACGCTTTTAAATAATAATAGTGTTAAAAAATTAGCTATTAGGGACTTTTACGGTTGAGGATTTTTAATGACATTCAAAAGTAGGTTGCCGATTTTAATAAAAATCCAGACCAAAATAAAATTTGCGCATGCGTTTTTATAGCCTACTTTTAGATGTTATTAAATATCGCTAACCACGAGGTTTTCTTTATTGAAAGATATTTGAAGCTTTTAAATTTGTTTAGTTATTCTAAATTGTATAATGAATAAAAGTATTTTTTCTCTTGATTTAGCACATTCAGTGGGTAAGATTTTATTTTTGATAGTTATTCTTACCTTTTCTAATCTTTACACTTTTCCTTAAAGTTTTTCAAATACTAGAATATCCAAAAAGGTAAAAGTATTTTGATTTCAAATACAAAAATAGTTCACTAAGAATGAGTGTTGCATACTAATCATAAATACTAGCTTACAACTTTAGTTTTTCTTCTAAGCAATAAATATTCATAATTTTTTATTTAAAGAAATTAACAATGTTTAACAAATTATCCCACTTTTTAACTCATTAACAAAATTGTTCCATAATTATATATTATGTCATATATATTACTAAATTGTATAAGATAACAGCAGTAAGCACCCGTTATACAAGTTATTAGTTATTAGTAATAAATAACAATACAATTTTATATATGAAAAGTATAATTGAATACAAATTTACATATAAACATTCTTTTTCGTTCTGCTCCCATTCTGACTTTTAGTTTAAAACATAAAAAGATAACATCTTTTTAAAATCAGTTAGGCACCAGAATAGGAAAACCTAGTAAAGTCTGCTAATACCAAATAAAAGAAGCAGAAATAAATTTACAATTTTCATTTACAAAAGTGTTATTTTACACTTGATTGTTAATAGAATTAAAACAATAATAGTATAAATAAAAATACAGAATAATAAAAAGGCAATACCTGTATATCAGTCGAGCTCTATCAACACAAAACACAGCTCATTTTTAAAAAATTTTAGTTAACTTTATTTCCATTTTATGTTTGAAATTTTTATATTTATTATGTTTGAATATATTGTTTGAATATATTGTTTGAAAGTTTATATTATTTTATTTGTTAGAGGCAATGATTTTATTTTTAAACAAGTTTGTAAATTTAAAACAGATTTTATTGAATTTCAAAATTATAAATTTCAAATACTGTAGGATTTTTATTCATTTTTAATGTACAGGTTACCGACCATTGTTGCCAAAACAACAAAGTTATTCTTCAGGATACCAAAAAGTTTGATTGTCCAGCAATGGTTTATATAAAAGAAATAGTCGAATTTCCGGAGTTTGAGGTATTTTGCTGCTATTTATTCATAAGAAACATTAAAAAAAATCCTGTTTAAAATTATATTATCAGAATCATATTTATGATTAATTTTACTTGTGATATAGCTCTGATGATAATATATTATATTATCATTACAATTATATCACAAGTAAAATACTTTATTATATAGCTATATAAAATTATTTACCTAAAATATTTTAAATCACCCAAGAAATCTAGTACAGGATAAACATGTGTAATATATGTGTATGGAATAACTTGTAACTAAACAACAGTATATAATTTTTGCATATAAATACCTTTTTACGTATAATTTTTATTTTTATAGCTAATAAGAGATTCATCATGGTTAAGAAAAGAAACTTCAAAAAAACTTCGTCTAGCCATGTTGGAGAAAAGAAATTTAGTTATGCGTAGAAAATATATTTTAGTATTGCCAGATATTTCTGCTAATAAAAACCATGCTACAGGAGATGTCAGTAACATTTTTTTGTTGCCTTTACTTTTTATCTTTTTTCTAATTATTTTATTGTTATTATTTTTTTGCATTTTGCTTTCACTTTGCTTATGACTGTTCAATACATTTACTATTAGGCAGCAGGTCTCTGTCAACCTATTTCTGAGGATCTGATTATAAAAATTGGAGAATTAGTAAAAAAGGGTGTCAACACTGTTCCGGAGATGAGGCGGCATCTTGATTTTTTTGTTCAAGCTCAATTTACTTTAAATAATGTTCCTCACAAAGAAAACAAGCGTTACTTTCCATTGGATAAGACCATTCGAAACCATATGATAAATGCAAGAAGAAAACTTCGGAGGTCTTTGATCGATCAAGAATGTTTGCTTGATAAAATTAATGAATGGAGAATCATCTCCAAAAAAAGCCATGATAAAATTTAGACCAAAAGGTATCAGTATTCTGGAAGACAATGATCCACAGCTTAAGGATTGTTGTTTGTATTCCAAGATAAGTGGCAAAGGAGACTGCTTTTGCGATATGGAAATGAGCTTATTTTCCTTGATGCTACATATCGCACAACAAGATATGCTCTTCCCTTGTTTTTTCTAGTTGTCAAGACAAACACTAATTATCAAGTTGTCGCGATTTTTGTATGCGAGAATGAAACAACAGAAGCTATCACAGAGACACTGATGTGCATTAAAAAATGGAATCCTTTGTTTCAACCTAAATTTGTTTTAACTGATTATTCCAATGAAGAGATAAACTCATAAGAGTATGTGTTTCCAGGTAAGAATTTTTAGAATATGCGGTTGCATGAACTGTTTTTGCTTTTTTATTTAAAGTATTGTATTATTTATCTTTAAATTGAGATTTGCCATATCGCTTTATTTAGGATCAAATGTCTTAATTTGTGACTTTCACAGAGAACAGGCTTGGGAAAGATGGTTGTCAAAAATCACTAACGGATGTTCCTCAGTAAAAGAAGTAGTTAAGTTAAAATTTCGTCAAATTGCTAATTCAAAAACAGAAGAGATTTGCATAAATGCTGTAAATGCTTTCAAAGAGTCAGAAGAGTGGAAAAATCACCCAAAACTTCGAGAGTACTTAAAAAACACTTGGTTATGCAACCAAAAGGTTAGTAAAATGTTAATAAAAAATGACATCATTTTTGATTTTATTCGTTTTGAATATCTTTCCTTAGAATTTATTCTACATGTTATTAGTTTCTTTTTTGGAGAATTCCAGTAGTTTTTTTTACATTTTAATTAGAGATGGGTGTTTGCTTTTCGGCAACATCGCCTTTTGCGAAATGTCAACACAAACAATGGTACTGAAAGACAGAACCAATCTCTAAAATACAGCTTTTTGGAAAAAAGGAAAAACTCTTCTTTTACAGCTATGCTAAGTGTTTGCATTGATAAATTCCTTCCTCATAACTATAACAAGTTAGTCATTTTTACTTAGACCACTACTTTTTAGTTATACATTTAAAGTTACGTTGATATTATATAATTAATAACTGAGTCTAATATCACAAATTAAAACAACAGCATTAAATATCATTGTAAGTTATTATATTTAAAAAAGCATAATGATACTATAAATAGGACTACTAGGGTGGTCCATTTTAACATATAAATTTTTTTTTTTTTAAAATTAATGAGGCATGTTGACTTATTACTTTTTTTTGGTCTAAAAATTAATTGTGCAAAGCTTCAGGTTGAAAAAAATATTTAGGGGTTGCTCAAGCATATCAAAGTCTAGAATATTTTATGGTTTTGCCAAAAAAGTTTTCAAAACTAGAGTTTTTGTGCAGACTGTGTATTTTTTGTTGTGTTTAATCATTGCGTTTTATTATCAATTTAGAAATATTGTAGAAATTTCTTACTCATTCAGTAGATGTCAGAACTATACTTAGAATACTTCTAGAATAATTATTACATACTATTTTAAACACCCTTATTTGGTAATATTATAATTATTAATTACTGAATTAACTTTTTGAATGAACATTTCTTCATTCATTTTCATAGAATTTGTTTGCATAATTTATTGCAGGTCAAATAATTTAAAATAAAAAATGGTTACTGCTGCAATAAATATTTATAAAAAAAGCAAAGCAAAAACCAAGAATTGTATCAATTTAAGCATAGACTTGTATCAATTTTTTAATATTATAAACCGTAATTATGTTATATAATAAAAAGTTATTAATTACTTTTGTAAAACTAAGTTGTTGAATAATTTACTTTTAAAAAACTAAAATATTAAATAATTACTTTTGTAAAACTAAATTATTGAATAATTTACTTTTATAAAACTAAATTATTGAATAATTTACTTTTATAAAACTATTTTCCCTGGAAAAGTTCTCATGTTCATACCTTTTTTTGAACATGGCTCTCCTCAAATTTGTAATCGGAGATCAAAGTGATCAATTCCTTCCAAGAAATTGAAAATGACTCCAGAGTTGGTTTGTGCATTGGACCGTAGCAAATTTCCAACCAACATGCTGTTCACATTTTGAATGCCTCAGCAGCAACACCTCTTAGCAACAGATCAATCTCCATGAGCTCAGTTTGACGTGCTAGGATACATAGCAGGGCCATCACAGCAGCCACTGTTAGGGATTCCTTTATCAATGAAGTTTAACAGAAGAATACCTTTTTAGTATTACACTGGGATGGCAAGTTGCTCCCAGACTGTACAGGAAATGGAGATGGCTTAAAGGTGGATTGTTTGCCAATTCTTGTTTCAAGCCCAGATATTGAATTCAAGAAACTGCTGGCAATACTTAAGTTATCATCGAGTACTGGAGATGCCATGGCTAATGCAACTTTCAGGATTGTTTGAGAGTGGAAACTCAAAGGAAGAATCGAAGCTCTTTTCTTTGACACAACATCATCCAACACTGGAATCCATGCTGGTTGGTGCCAATTAATAGAGGTAAAATTAGGCCGACTTCTGGTTCATCATGCATGCAGACATCACATTATGGAGCCGATTTTGGCTAAAGCCTTCAAATCAGTTATGCTGGCATCATCTGGACCATATATTCAACTGTTCGAACGCTTTTGAGAACAATGATCCTTTATCTCAAAAGATGAAATAAGTGCTTTTAAGGATCCGAGAGTAAATGAGCATAAAGATTGGAAAGATGCTACCATAACCTCCATGCAGTCTAGCTTGGCTCAAAGAGTATACGTGATGGTTATGCTGAACTGTGTCAACTGTCATTGTATTTTCTGACGGGAGAATTATGTGCTCCAATCAGGAAGCCTGGTGCATACCATCACACCAGGTGGATGGCCAAAGCTATCTATGCGATGAAAATCTTGTTCTGGAAGCAAATGAAACTGAAGTGTCTCTCTTCATTATCTTGATTTACTCCAGGGTCTGGATAGAGGCTCAGCAAGCTTGTGAGGCGGCCGTCAATGATAAGGCTCTTCTAAATGATTTGGTCAGCTACAACAATGTGAATGAGAAGATTGTGAAAGCCACATTAACAACTTTTCTTTTGCCATCTATGGTATCTAGGTAGTGACCTTGTTAGCTTTTCACTTTTTTTGTAACTGTCTACTGAAGAAAGAAAAGTCTACTGATGAAAAAAAAGATATTATTAGAGAAATGAAGAAGGAGAAAAATATGGATCGAATTAAGTGGGTTTTAAAAAAACGACGATGAACCTCAGTGATTTTGCTTCTTCCGCATCCTTGCGATTTTTAAAATCTTTTAGAATTAAATAAAACCTTCTTGGAGTGACCTGACCAATCGGATGTTGATGAAAGTTTTCAGTAAGGGCACAGAAAGCTTGAGAAACTGAAAATTGTAAATGATGGGGCAGAGAGGGGAGTTGCAATGATTGCCACTTTCAATGATTCTTTGACAATGGACAAAGAGACAAAACAAGTGCTACTACAAGTTGTCGCGCACCATCGTCATCTCCACCCCCTCAAATGACTTTTCTGACATTAATGAATGATGTGAATGATTGTGTTCTAGTTTCGTCACGTTTTTTGCATGTTTTGATGTTCAATAACTTTTTAGTGGTTTTTAAATTTAAATTTGTCTTAAAATAAGTTTATTTATTTTTTCCTGCAATTTGCATTTTTTTTGATATGGTTCATTTGATGTATAGCTTGAAACATTGATAGCATTTAGCAAACTCTAAATATAGTCCAAACTATGTAATATTTTGCACAGTGGCTTTTTTGAACAAAATGAACATAACAAACAACATGCCTCTGAAATATATTAAGCTTGACTTTTTTTGGACCACCCTAAGAACTACCACTCCCACCTCCCCACCCAATACATGTTATGTTCATATTAAAGAATGGTTTAAAAGTACAACAATATTTAAACAAAGATTTTTTTTTAGTTAAAAATAATATAAAAATAAATAATAAATGTGTATCAAGAAATTAATTAAGTTGTTTTAGTTAGAGTGGGCTTTTATAATTTGCTGTGCAACTAAATTTTATAAAATATGCATACAATTTACAGACTAATTTATTTTGAACACAATATGTGTTCAGGATTGGTATTCTCATTTATGTATTAGTGTAGCATGGTTTGCAATACTTTCTTTTAGTTATGCTGATAAAAACAGAAAAGCGCACTCATCTTATAGAAAGTATAATAGTAAGATTCCAGTATATTTAATAAACCGCCCTCAACCTTTAGTAAAGCATTGCATGAACATGATAGATAAGCTACAAGGTTTAGACTTGGAGGGAATTAATGCTGTTACAGATAGATTGTACAATGTTGCATCATTTCAGTCAAATAGTAGAGAAATTTACCAATGTTTTCTTGGTGATGCAAAACACTTGCCAAGCTGTTCCTGCCCTTCTTGGTTTAGTAGCATATATCCATGCAAACATATTTTTGCAGTTTTCAGTAAAGAAAATCTTTCTTGGTCTGATTTTGATCCATCTTATGGCAATTCTCCATATTTCATCTTAGATCCATTGCTGAATGAAAATAATTACTCAACTTCATTTCATTGTCAAGATTTACCTGAAACTGTTAATTTATCTTTTAAAAAAAATCCTCTTGATAATGCCAAAGTAGTGAGTGACAGCAGTGAGTTTGTACCATCAGAACATTGTCAGACATTACCAAATATTAATCATATACAGGCTAGTCATCATACACCTGCTGCATGTCGTGAACTCTTAAACGAAATCATAAAACTTACTCATTTAAGTAAATCTCAAACAGCAACAGATAACTTGTTTGAGGGACTTTATAAACTTAAAACCAGCTATGCAGAATCTCTTACAAAAGAACAAGGCATTATTCTTCGGCCAGACCCTAAACCTGACATTTGGAAAAAGTCTGTTACAAATTCTCCTAATCTTGTTAATATTCCAGTTCAACGGAAAAGAAAAATAACCAGAAGAGTAGGTGTAAAGTATGATGTTAAAAAAGCAGCTTCAAATATAAGTTTGATATCAAACATACAAAATGATTCTTGCTTTTCTGAGATTGTTACAAATCATGTGATTAGTGATAGTTGTGAAATGTTTGATGTTTCAACAGAGTCATTTGAACTTGAAGAAGAAATATCTAATGATTGCCAGGAGCTGCATGAAGCTACTATAATTAATGATTTTGACCCACTGCAAAGCACCCTTTACTCCATTCAAAGTCTGAAATCCTCTTTCATTGGAAATTGATATAGAAAAAAGAATAAAAAAAAGGGCATCATTAAAAGATCTGCCCCCGATATGATAACAGTATTCCATACAGGGACGGATTTGAGATAGAGAATAGAATCTGGAGTAAGAAAATGTCGAGCTCGATAAAGAGATGCAGCCTTAGCAGATGTTAATTTTGCAATGGATTTGATGTATGATTTCCAAGAAAGATCATAATCATTAAGCCTAAAAGATGAAGAGTACTCATCTAGTATGTTACTGTTCATAAATAAAAGAAGATCTAAATTATTGAAATAACGATTGGCTAAAAAAAATTGAGTTTTATCTGAATTAAAGTTCATCAGCCACTGTTAGCCCCATGTTGTAGCAAAAGTGATAGCAGGGTTGTGGAGTCGTAAAAAAAAAGTAACGACTCCGACTCCAGTTGTTGAAATTTTTTGAGTACAACTTCAACTCCAACTTCAAAGTAAAAATTTTTGAAAAATTCTTGGAATTCTTTAAAAAATATTGCACAATAAGTTGACTTTTTATTTTTGACAAATTTATGCAACGCTCTTTGAGGTTTAGTATGAACATAAGGTTGATTGAATGTTTTGTACATACACGTGCCATACCAAGAAATATTACTGTCGGAGTCGCGATATTTTTTAGCAACTCCGACTCCACTATATGTGCAAACATACATACATATATACATACATACATTTTGAGAATTCCGCATACATACGCACACTTTGAGAATTCCAGCTTCAAATATATATGTATTTCATAAGAGATTATAAGATTCCATGTTAGGTCAGTAGCAGAATCAGAAAAGATGTAAGATAGAGGATTTTTAACACTATTGTGATAACTAAGTTTTGTTTAAGCTATAAACATTGTTAGCCCTAAGGTGTATAAGAAAAGACATAATTAAAGATTGACTAAATTCATAACTAGATTCTTAAACCTTAGAAAGTGATTCTTTTTGTTTCTTAATAATAGTTGAACAAGGAAAGAGCAGTCTAATCATGAGGCAGATCCCAAAAAGCTATATTTTTCAAAAAAAAAATTTAACAATTTTTAATTCACGACATTCTTTAAAAATGTGATTTAAATATTTCAAAATATATTATTTTATTGTAGTCTTTCTTTTTAATGTAGAACTTTTTGTTATTTCAAAAAAATGAAAATGTGCAAGAAAAGGCAGTTTGCTAATTGATTGTGTATTTTCTGTCATATACTTTCAATCGTTCTGCATCAAAAATCGTACATGTGAGTAGGAAAGGAACCTTGACGTGGTTCATGTGCTTTAAAACAAATACCTTCCAGACGGATACTCTGGGACCTTATAATGTGGGTTAAGGAACATTTTATGCTTGCTTTTCTTCGTATCTTTATTTTTTTAGATAAAATTCTTTTGATGGCATTGTGGATGTCGAGAGATAAAGGTACTGTTTTAAACATGTTATTTGAAGCAAATAAAAAAAAAAAATAGTGCATATCTCAACTTAAGTCTCAAAAATGCTTAAACTTTTCGGACTTGGTAAGCCATGGTAGTTTTAGCCTGATTAGTATACCAATTACCTTGAACAAAAAGTTTTATTTTAATAATTGTTTCATGTTTCGCAGTTGTTCTTCCAACCTAGAGTTTTTCATATCGTACTCTAATTAAATATATTTTTAGAAAACAAAAGAATCAATGCTTATGAAGACACTAAAATGTGATATTGAACGTTATAAAGAACTTTTTATAAATTTTTTTTTTTTATTGGAGTGTATTTTTATTTATGTATAATTTATATTACGATATGTGTGATATGAATTGTGTCACGAAAAAAACTATAATTAAAAAAAACGACAGTACTAGTACCTTATGTATGATTTGCTTTTTGTTTTGGCTAGGCTTATATTTTATTTTTTCTTTGAAAAATACTTTTAAAACTATAAAAAAAATTTTTTTTGTTTAAAAATAAGAAATTTTGTATTAATTGCATAAAAAACTGCTTTAACGATTTCTCTTATAATTTGTCCACTAACTTTGTATTAAAAACGGAAACATACACTGATTATATTGTTTTGTATTGTCCCAGCAAACATTCGGTCTAAAATAGACGTCTTTAATACGTATTAAAAAACGTTTAATTCGTTTAAAAGACATTAAAACGTCTTTTTAAGACCAAATGTTTGCTTGGATATTGTTAGCTAGCTGTTTTATAGAAAACAGCGTCCCCAAAGCTAACATTGTTTTTTTTTTCTTTCTGTTTTTCAAATTCTGTTAACTATTACATAATTAATTGATAAGAAATTTCAAGAAAATTGTGGCTCTTGCAACACTAAAAAGTACACAAATGAATTTCCAAAGTAGGTAACATTTTTGAAAAACTTTGAGTTTTATCACAACAAATAAAAGCAGCGTATTCAACCTAACGAAATGTTTCAAAATGACCTGATAATTCGATCCAAATATCGACACTTAATTATGCTGTCGCAAATCTTTACTACGTTAGCATAAATATTTTATTTAAATTTTTAATAATAAATGATTATTTGGATCGTGCAGATTTATTCAGCAGCTATTCTGAATAGACAACAACTTGTATTCTATGTAAAATTAAAATAAGCAAGAGAATCTAATAATTCTGGTCAAAAATTGTTTCTTACAACTCCACTGCTCGATCACGTAAAAAAAAATCATTTTTAATTGTATTAAAAGGAAATAAAATTACTTTTTAACTTTACGCGATTATTCGATAAGTAGCATATGCTACTTATCGAATAATCGCGTAAAAATCGCGTAAAGCTTCTTTACGATTCACATTTTCTTTACAATCGACATGCGCATGTCGATTGTAAAGAAAATGTGAATCGTTAAGAAGATGAGAGAGCAAATGTCTATAGACAATTTCGGCGTGCGGCATATAACTTCGATAGACCGAAGTTATGTCGTTGCTTTTTTAATCCATATCTAATGTGAATTTCTATTAAAGAATTTGTTTAACGTACATGATATAGGGTATTAATGATATAAAGTCACAACAAATGCATAAAACATTTTTTACATCATCTGCATTTTTAGAGAGATTGTTGTCTGAATAAAGAAACATTTATAAGAAAAAGCGACCAATTCTGTTACCTTAACGCGGAGAAACGCGTTGAGATAATACAGTTTATACAAAGTAATGCAAATACATTCATAACAGTTTATACATAGTAATGCAAATAAGTTCATAAATGAGTGATGAAATCTGTATTTCTTGAGCGAAGAAAATTAAAATGTAAATAAACTTATAAGTGATAAAACCTATAATTCTTGTGCATCGTTAATTCTTATTTATTTGAATTATATAACTTGAACACAATTTCTTCGAATCTAGTAACATTAGATTGTTTTAAAAGATTAACACTTTAGAATTTGCGTTCTAGGTTCTCTCATTCCGTTAATTACGAAATGGTTGTATCAAGTCTAAACTGTGTATCTTTAAGACTGCGGCTTAAAATAAATTTTTAATTTAATTATTTTTACTTTAAATATTTTTACTAATAACTTTTTTTATTATTATTTATCAACATGAGATATCCAATTATTTTATTATTCGGAAGAATACAGAAGACCGGATAATATACAAATCTGGCTGGATACACTTCTGGTAGACTTCTATTTTTAAAGACTCACTCTCAATTTAAATTTACTTAATAGATCTTTGAAGTCTTGCTCAAATTTTAGGTTAAGTAGGAGTCAAAAGGCCGGCGCGAAGGGGGTGAGGAGTGTGACATCCCCTCTCATTAAGGTATTTTTCGCTCATTTAGTCGGCGAGTCTGACCCTTTTAGACATCAACTCGCGCCGGCTCTGTATAAATAAATATAGTCAGTCACAAAAGCCTTCGTACGCTTTAGAGTACAATTTAGAGGAAAGACTTAAGAAGAATCACTTTAAAAACCATTTTAAGAGCAAAAAAATATTTTTTTATTAAAGTAACAAGAATATATCGTACAAGAAATAAAAAATAATAATAATTAACTAAGAAAATATATTTATTTGTAAAACTAAAAAAGTTTAATTATTGAATTTTTATGTCAAAAAAGTTTTATAAGTTCACTAAAAAGTTACACTAAACAAGAATCATAAAAAACACAAGAATATGAAAAATAAAAAAATCTTTAGTATTTTGTTGAATATCCTTTGGCATTTAGACAAGTTTTTTCTTTTATTCTTCTGTTCATCGATGACAATAGTTTTTTGGTATAAAAAGACGGTATTTTATTCCATCGATGACAATAGTTTTTTGGTATAAGAAGACGGTATTTTATTCCATGATTCTAGTGAGATATTTTTAAACATATTAACATTTGTTATTCTGTTTCCTGACTTGTCTTTCAAAATAATTTCACACGTGCTCTATTGAGTTAAAGTCTGGTGATTGGGGATGCAGTTGTTTTGGAACATTGTAGAGAAACCATGATTTTACAACATGAGCAGTGTGTTTCGAATCATAATCTAGTGGAAATATCTAATTATTTCACAACTTTAATATTGTAAGCATGCGATTTCGAATTATATTTTATAACGCTAAATATACATCCAGCGGAAATAAATACCGAAGTCCCCACTACAGCTGCACCCATCGATCCCCAGACCATCACACTTCCACCTCCATGTTTCATCATCGGAATTAAATCTTTTTTTTCTAGTTATGCATTATTTTTCTCAATATTTTTCCACGCCTATCAGGTCCGAAAATATTAAATTTACTCTCGTCAGTAAATAAAACTGTGTTCCACAATTGTTCATCTTATTAATATTTGGCGAAGTTCCATCGTAAGTTGGCATCATAGGTCTAGACCTAAAACCTATAAAAGACCTATAAAAATACAACAAAAATGTTGAAATTCGTATAATTTCTTTTACATAAATTTTTTCATTTAATTTTTCTTAGACGTCTAAGAAAAATTAAATGAAAAAACTTGAGTAAAGGAAATTATACGAATTTCAACATTTTTGTTGTATTTTTTGTTATTATTTAATAGATTAATTACCTTAATTAAGTTTAAAAAGCTATAATAAGTTATATCGGGTGGACACGGAAAAATCCGGTCAACATTAAATTGAGATTTCTCTAAAACCATAAATGCTTTTTATTTCAATTTTTTTTATTATTAAATGTGTTTACACAAATTAGAGTTTCAACTTAATTTTAAGGGGTTTGATGGGTTGCTTGGCAAGAAATCGAACCTTATAGCGGGTTGATGCCATCATTTTACAGATTTTTTCTTTTTTCACCATATTGGTGGTATTAGTCCACTTTTTTTGGAAGTCCTTTTTATTATTTGTTAGTCCACCTTTCTTACGAAGAACTCCTTTAACTATTGCCCAAAAATCTTCAGTTTTGCGCTCTTTAGTACGATTTGGAGGATTCGCATCTTTAGGAACAATTTTCACATTATTATCTTTGCACCACTGTAAAACTTTTTTAGAATAGTAAGAGGCAGCAAGATCCGGCCAAAAGAGACATCGGTATTTGTGTTCTTTTATAAAAGACAAAAGTCTTTTTTGGAGGCATTTTTTGATGTAGAGATTGGCAGTCAAGGTCTTTTTAGTGATAAAACAAGAGGACTGCATACCACAGCTACAAATTGCTTGCCACAAAAGTAACTTGGATGCAAATTTTTCTCGTCGAATGTATTTAAATTGATCATCGACAGGTTTATCTTTGTTTTCATAGTAAAACTGTTGACCAGGAAGTTGTGAAAAATCCGCATTGCAATACGTTTCGTCGTCTTCAATTATGCACATATTTTTATCCGCCATTATTTTAACCAACTTCTTTGCGCGTCGAATTTTTTTAATTTCACAATTTAAGCTTCTCTTAGGTGTATTTTTTTTATGAAATGCTTTAATTCCAGCATTTTTAAATACTTATTTGATATAAGAACGAGAAGTCTTAAATTTTCTTGCTAGATCTCGCTGTGACTGATTTGGATTTCTTGCATTTGAACGTAAAATCGACTTTACCTTTTTGGATTTATGGAAAGTTTTTTTTCTTCCACTTCCAAGTTTTCTTTCGAAGCTTTGAGTAGTCTTCAACTTGTTTATAATATCTATGACTGTAGATTTTGGGACATTTGTGCGTTTAGCAACCAAGCGATAGGAAATCATTAATTTGTACACAAAAATTTATCAACACCATTTAAGATAAGGAAGTAAGGTTTAATAAAAAAAAAAAATTAAATAAAAAGCATTTGTGGTTTTGGAGAAATCTCAATTTAAAGATGATCGGATTTTTCCGTGTCTACCCGATAGTTATAAACAAATTTAAATGAACTTCAGTATATAATAATATTTTGAAACGAAAAAAAAAAACTTACGGCTAATCTATACAAGCTATCAGTATTACTTTATAAAATTGTTGGGTGATTTTAGATAACTATATGTGAAATAAGCTTTTAATATTTTAATCTTTCTAAAGTTTTTTTGATATTACCTTCTTTATTAAAGCCTTTCTGAATGTTCTTATACCTTTCTGTAAATAATTTTTTGCATACTTTCTTAATTATATTATATGTTTATTGTTATAATACTGCTGTTGTTGTGCCTTATGCATAATAAAATTAGTAATTTTCTAATATAATGTTATTTGTTTATCACAGTATCTTTAACACAGCGATGACAATCATAATTGTTTGGGTTTTAACATTTAAACTAATAATAGTTATTCCTGCCATAACCAGATTTCTAATTAATTTTTTATTTTTTTCTCTACTTTATTTATCCATTAAATAATAATTTTTTTTATGTAAACACAAGATAAAGTTCTGTTGTTTTTAATCTTGTAAGAAGTTTTGGGAAGTTTTGAATTGATGGTGTTATACC